CCATAGCAACAAGCCGGACAGTGCGATGTTGCCACACACCAACACCGCCTTTTATTAGAGGAGGCTATGCTGTGATGGTAGCTCCTTGAACACTTTAATTTACAGTGAGCCCTTGTAAAACATGAATGCGAGATGATTAAAATGATTAATATATTTATGTTGATTGTTTAGTTACAACGTCAACCACCACTGAGCTGTTGGAGGAGGTTAGGCTAAGGTCGCGTCGCAGAGCTCACACCATGTTGGGACTGTTCCGTCGCAGGCGTCGTGGAGTCTACGACGAATGTTGTCGCAAGAGCTGCACAGTCACGGAACTGTCCAGCTACTGTGGACTTCCATGACTCATCTTTGGCCTGCTGATCCTAACTTGATCTATCTATATTTAACTATTTTTTGGACCACTTTTATACCAGATTAAAGGTTTGAATACCTGTAGTACTGTCAAGTTGTTTTGGTTCTGACTGAGGTTCAAAACTTGAAGGTTCATTTTTAAGTTGGATACCAGGCTATTGAACTGTCATTCAAAAGTCATTCTTCACTCATCTCAGTCTTAAATACCTGACGTGTTTGCGTTATATAAATTTCACCTGATCTCATCATAGGGGTTAGATTTTGAGAAAGTCCTGGTGGTCACAAACGCATACATATAAATTAATATCTGCATTAATAAAAAAAATAAGTAAGGTGGAGTTGAGCAATGTGTTAACATTTTTATGTTGTTCTCAAGTCCACAATTAGTTGTTGTGTCAATATTTCTACTGTAGCAAAGCATCTCAAATAGTATACTTCATCATTAGAGGGTAAAGTGACTATTTTCGACCCGAGCTCTAGATTCACTTATCGGAAAATGACCGAGGTTTGAAAAGACACTTTTTGACGTGGGATGAGTTTATATTTTTGGTCATATTATAACGTTATTCAACAAACTAATATAGAAAACAAAAATACATTTCATGTAAAGATACCCTCTTAAAACAACCTCCAACTTGTTTTCAATTTTGCTAAAGCAAACAAACAGCTGTTTAATAAATGATTAGATATTTTGTCTATGATTGTGTAAGTGTACATTAAAACACTAACAACATGTCACTACAACATGGCACTAACAACATGTCGAACTATTGACAAGAATGCCACAATAAGCTACAACCGATTAAATCAATCTATACATATAATTTCAATTCATGCTATTGCTTAAGATTAGAATTTTACAACAGCTGATATTACTCCCTAGGGACCAAAATGGGGGTTTTTCTCCCTAGGGAGTAAAAGAATTACAATAGACCCGCAACGCATATATTAAAAATGGCTGTGTTTGCTGCAGTGTGACGAAAAAAACATATTTAATGAAGGTGTTGGTTGTTTAGTTATATTTTTAATATTTTTTTATTAGTGTTGCCAATACAGATTTAGCGGTAATAAAACTTAAAAGGTGTTCAAAGATTAAGTAGTGAAGGTTGAATAAATTTTACAAGAAAGTATTTCTTATATTTTATTGCCAATTATTTATATAAATTATACTTCCTTTTATTTTCTGCTTGTGCGTAGAGAATTCCAGAATTGTAGGGATGTTATTGTAAATAGGGCGGTAAGGGGAGTATTTGTTTGTAAATACGCTATGCCTTCGATGTAAGATTTGTTTTATTTGAGGCCTACATAAGTTATGTAATGCATGATGTCTCGTGCCAGCATTAACATACTTGGTATAAGATCACTATACATTTCAAATAAAAATTTATTTGGTGGCACTAAGTAAGATTATGTTGTTAATTTGAATCAGTATTATTAAAATATCAAATGTAAAAATGTAGATTTGGTTTGTCTGTGTGTGTAACTAATGTGTCAACATGTAATTTAAGATTTTTTTATGCACCATACCATACTGGTATGTAAAAATTTTTCATATAAAAATGTAAGAATAATATTATCTTGTTTTCATATAACCCTACTCCCAAAATAATGTGAAAATATTTTGATTCTTAACATAGCAATAAATTAGACATCATAAAAACATAGCAGTTCAATCCCTAAATACCACTTTGAATTACTCATTGTTGAACATATCCTTTTATAGATGCATAATCCTTATCGAATTAAGAATTTGCGAATTGGTATTCAACAAAAGTCAATTTGTATCTGTTCATGATTTATAAGATTTATATTATTGTTGTTTGTTATTTTTTGAATAAGAGGATTATTTAGCAAATCATCAGCAATGCTGGAAATGAACCAGACTAGGTAATTCATCACATAATTGGATGACTTTGGATGACACATTTCCACCAACATCTAATCCCTAATCCCTAAATCTAATCGTAATTGCTTAGCCCTCTAATTGTTATATCTCCTACAATTTTTCATGAAACTTTAAAAACTCAAAATATCCTTGAAACCACAGCATATCAGGAATGAAAAGGTCTTGATTCTTTTGTGATGCTGATGTAACATGTTTTACACATGAATGTGTTTTCCTGCATTGGGTTAAATCATAGAGATAAATGGATTCTAATCTATTCATCTCTATGTAGTCCAAGCAAACTAAAAAAACTTACACAGGGATCGTTAAAAAAATTGCAACAAACAAGCGTTAATAAGAACTGGAGATATAAGAAAAATAATTTTAAAAAAAATTATCAAACTACGAAACGTCCATAAGAAATATATGGTGGAGAGTTTTAGTTTGAATATATCTTCTAAATGAATAAAGATATTTAAAAACGGATTTCAACATTGAAATCAGTGTAAAAATGTAGTTGGTAATGATGTGTCACAACACTATCATTAATTTGAAAAAAATTATCTATGTCCAATATGGCGGAATCAAGATGGCCGCCAAAAACGTGTTCCCTATCAAAATGAAGTACTAACCACCCAATAAATACAGGTGGCGGTCCCAAGTCAATATCTCGAAAAATGTGCATAACAAATGCATGTGAAATATGTTTTTTTAATTTGTCCAATGTTGGGAAAAGCCACCATTTTAAATTGTGATTTTAATGGTTTTCTCGTGCACCGATTTTTGGCAACTTTTAGTATGTGATTCTGCAAACCCAACTCTACAAAATAAAACCATAAAACGTTTTCTTGAAATTTTTTTAAGGTCATATCCTATATTTCTCCGACTAATGGGTTAATGTGAGCCATGCGGTTGACTATAGATGCATGACAGCGCACCTACGAGCGGCACTAGCCGCAGGAACCTGCGGTCTCGAGGTTCATTGGTATATATGGGTGCTTAGCGGTAAGCCACCGCAGCGGCGCTGTCAAGTCCTGCCAACATGATCAAAACGAAACCCACCCTCAAACGCACCTGCATTATTTGTTTATTAATTTATTAAAGCATATAATAGTGATGTAGGCCTAGACCTAGACAAATGATTAAATATTCACTCTGAAATATGAGTAGTAAAGTTTTTCAGTTTTGTTAGTTTTATCGTTATAACGGACATTGATTTTAGTTTGACATAACCAATGCATGTATATTGTATCTCTCTTGGGTATGAATTATTAAAATAGTTATTCTACTTTTCACGATAATATTATTTATGTAGTAGGTTAGGACTACATTATAAACGAGCTAAATAATTTTGCCACAGTAATATAGTTTAAGCGGGGTGCTCCGCCAGGCAGCGACCACATATAGTACAAAATTTGTACATTTAATGTACCATGTTGTTTGTAGGCCAACTATGTGGTCGCTGCTGCCAGGGAAGAATTATTCAAATTAAATAATATAATTCTATTATTCCATATTTCTAAGTATGAAAGTATTATATTATTCCAAGTCATTTCTAATTCATTTCCAAGTAATTATACTATTCCATTATTCCAAGTACTACACTCGGTACAAATATCTAAAGGTGGATAGAAATCCCTAAATTGGTAATCCTGACAAAGTACCAGCAACCACTTATGGCTTTTAAGATGTCAACACTGCCACTGCCGCCGCACAAACTTGTGGCGTGGCGCGCCGCAGGGGCACGATAAGAGTGGCCAAAGACTAAAGACAGAATATATATGTAGCCTACATGGAATTGTCTTCGTCGTTCATTCTCATACGCGACTTCGGAGCGTACTCCTAAGTAAAAATTAAAGTGTCTATAAAATTACTGATTGTAAACGTTTTCTGTTTTGAAACATTTTCATATATTAGGTGGCTAGGGTTTTGTTTGTTAAAAACTCCTAACACTTCGTAAAAATCTGCTAAACCCGTCTCAGAGCCCTTACTACCAAAAATATCCCCGCCGCAGCAAATCTTAAATCCCTTAAAATTGTCAGATTTATTTCCTATTTTAATAACATTAATTTTAATGAGTTCTTATTTTGCTGCTACAGGGAAGGTATTGAGGCGTGTTTTTTTAAATTGAAATGTTGATAGCTTAGTATGAAACAAAAGATTTCCGAAAAAAAATTATATATAGGCCTACCTATATGAATTTGAACGGAGGGTGTTTTTGGCCTCTTGGGACCTCAAAACGAAAAAGTAAATCGGTCCCGGGTCTAGGTCTTACCATGAGACCTACGGTAATTTATTCCCTATATGGGAATAAAAACGTATCACAACAATCATAGGTTTAAAAAAATCTCACTGTATAATATTCGTATTCATACTCCCCTATTTTTGCATAATTGATGTACTTAAAACTCACAATCTTAAAATCTTTTTTTCAATTTATTTGGAATTTTCACCAAGATCCCCTTGAGATGCTGGACCCTATGTGGCTGCTTTTGCACATGCCTAAGGACACCAGATAACCAGCCTAAGGTGCAGCAGATTCACCAGTTGTAAGCTCAAAAGTCAAAAAATATTGTAATCAGCTTATACTCTACTCTACTCATCTAATCATTTTACTCTCTCGCTGATTTATGATGTACCTATTGCAATCAGCAAAACATGTGTACCTATTAGTATATAGATATACTGTATGTGATAACCACTTCAATATTCAGTACTAACATTCAGTTAATCGACAGTAGAATTTTTATTTTATGCTACACTACTAGTAGGTACAATAGGACTTGAGCACAGCAATGGTACATCCCTTGTAGCAACATTCTTCACTCACTCCTCGCCGCAGTCTTCTCGAACCCAATGAGTAATCTGCAATTCACAATTGATTACTAATTTCTGTGAATCAACGCAAATAACCTTAATCTTTATGATTTTGTTAATGCAAGTTGAGCATGATAAAATGCACTACAGTAAGGGCACACAGTATACACTACAGTAAGGGAAATACACCCCCGCCGCAGCAAACCTGCAGACTAAGGGAATTTCAATTAGCCTGATTGGATTTACACTAAAATTCCTCCTTTAAAATATCACATTTATTCCCTAGAGTTTTGCTGCAACAGGGAGGGTAAAAAAGTGTTTTTTTTTGTTTGTACATTGTTAATAGTTTACTATGAATGTATTTTCCAAATTCGATCAAAATATGTTTATAAAAGAAGCAAACTAAACAGTTTACTTATTATCCATAAGAATAACATGGGAATTTTAAATTTACAATATTTTTTTTAATTTTCTCTGTAACCATTAGGCATACAACAACGCTTCAATATACTAAATTATTTGTTTTTTAAGCTCTACAAAATGGTTTGGAGAGAAATCATGAAATTTTGTGTTTTTAGGTTCAAAAATGGGAAAAATCTATTTTTACTCCATAAACCCCCGCCCCATAAACCCCCGTTCCCATAGTCCGATTATGCTGGTTCAAATAAACGCAGGTTTACACGTTTGTACCAAATTTAATCAAAATCGGATCATTTTTGCTCGAGTTATCGTGCTAACAGACATATATACTGTATACATGAATTTGAACGGATTGTGTTTTTGGCCTCTAGGGACCTCAAAACGAAAAAAATAAATCGGTCCCGGGTTCAGGTCTTTATTTCCTATATGGGAAATTCGCTAATACCAGCAGTAGCAAATACCAAGACAGTAGAGATATCATTTATGGAAAGATGAGCTATTGGGAAAATTAAGCTTGGGACCATTATGTAAGTTCATTTTCTGACCCCTGATGACGTCCTGAAGGTTGTAAATATACTCAACAATCTTAAAGTAGGTTATAAAATGGATATGCAATGTGTACATCCCTAAATAACTCAAAATGACAAAAACTTTGACATCCTTGTCAGATTTTTGTCTCTTAGTTTTTTGAGATATTGAATTAAACGTACAGAAGAAGGTTTAACATGAGGTAAACACTTTTGTTGTGGCACAGAATGGTATAATCCGGAACGTTATACATTTTCCAGTGCAAGCTCAAGTTTCACGAATGAGGCAGAGCCAAGGATCTCTAAATCTCATGTGTGAAGCCGAGCCGAGAACGTGAGATTGAGTTTCATGTATGAGACGAAGTTGAAGACATGAATAATTGGATCAAGTGCCGGTAAACAACTTTCTGTACAAGCTATGAATGATACTTTTAATCACCACGCAAATGCCTATTTTATGTTTACATTTAGGGACATACATTTGTTTACATTATTAAACAGTAACAACAGCTGAATTTAATTATAAAAATAATTAATAAAGAGCATGCTCACTAGTTTACATAGTGGACAAATGGAAAACAAAACGAATTGAGAACAAGGTAAAGAAAATTAAGAGAAAGGGGAAATCAGCTGATAGATTTTAACTTGCTCAAAATTAGAGCTTGGGGAACAATTATTTTCTTTGATATCAGCTGCAATCGAAAATAGCCTAACTACTTTATGTACACAGTGATTAAAAAGTATATTTCATCAGTAGGGCCTAAAGTGACACTTTTAGATCTGAGCTCAAGTTTTACGATCGAGGCGAAGCTGAGGTCGAAAAATGAATTAGGGTAGAAAATAAATTTTTCGTCATACTGCACTAAAAACAGACGTTTTTAATGCATGCGTTTCGGGTCTAATTTAGAATTTTTACTCTCTAGGGAGTAAAAATCGTTTTTAGTGTCTATGAATTTTTACTGTTACTTTTAGCAGTTGTAAACAGTTGTAAATTTCGATTGTGGCAATCGTACAGATATAAATTATTTATCGATTGACTTATTAGGTAAGGTTCTAGCCCATTGTTGTCGATTGCTCGACATGTCGATGGTATAATGTACTGTAACACAATCGTAATAGACGAAATGATTGAATCACTTACTAAACAGCTGCTTATTTACATTAATTGAAAAAAAGCTGGAAGTCGTTATAAGAGGTTATCTTTACATTTAAATTATTTCTTTCTCTAGCTTTTTTTGCTAATTAATGATGCAATATGACGAAAAATATAGTTCACCACACGGGCAAAAAGTGACATTTTAACCCTCGCTTATTTTTCGACCTCGGCTTCGCCTCGATCGTAAAACTCACATTAGGCCCTAGTGATGAAATATACTATTTTGCACGTGTGATTAACTATATTTTTCATCATATTGCACAATATTTGAACAAACTGTGTTTAAAAACTGAAATGGTTTTCAGTTAAAGATAACCTCTCAAAACTACTTCTAGCTTGATTTCAATTTAATTTGCTAATGCAATGGAAACAAACAGCTGTTTTAGTAAACAGAAGTGATTCATCCGTTTCGTTTTTTGCAATAATTGTCTTAGTGTACATTATACTACCGATATGTCAAACTCTTTACAATTACGGCAACAATTAACTACAATCGATTAAACAGTCAATACGTACTTTCGATACATGCAATTGTTTACAATAGAAATTGACAACTGAGCTGACAACATCTGATTTTTACTCCCTAAGGGTTAATAACGATTTTTACTCCCTAGAGAGTAAAAATGACACTTTAGACACGCAACCCATGCATTAAAAACTGCTGTGTTTTTGCTGCAATATGAGGAGATAGTTAGTTGCACATTACATTTTTCCTACAGTTACCATAAAACAAATAAATTGGTAAAGAAACGTGCCTTCCCGTTGCAAATCTGGAGTGAGACAAAGTAATTAGAGTGAGACAATGTTAACATTGTCTCATTGATGAGCGAATTGGCCACTTTCGTGCCTTCACGTTACAAATCTGGAGTGAGACAAAGTAATTAGAGTGAGACAATGTTAACATTGTCTCACTGATGAGCGAATTGGCCCGTGAGAGAACATGTACATTGTTAGGTAACTGTAGGAAAAGGTTCTTTTGTTCTCTTCCTTCAGTCCCCCATTTAATTTTCTATATATAATTTGCTATCTGGACATCTGTGTGGTGCGTAATGAGCGAGAGCTCATTGTATTTCGATTCAGATATTAAATTATATATTTTTCCTACAGTTACCTAACAATGTACATCACTGATGTTTCTCACTGATTTGAGAAAGCAAAGTGGCCAATTCGCTTATCAGTGACAATGTTAATATTGTCTCGCTCTAATTACTTTGTCTCACTCCAGATTTGCAACGTGAAGGCACGTTTCTTTACCAATTTATTTATTTTATGGAAACTGTAGGAAAAATTCAGTTATGAGCCAGCGCTCGGAGTGTACGGTTGCCCTGCCGGTCGGTCAGATGCCACTGATAAGGTATTGATAAGCTATTCCTGCTCATTTAATGTTTATGTTTTTGGCTTCCCAAATTCAACTCTTTTAAGTATTATCTTGTTAAATAAATTCAGTTCTCAGTGCGTCCTTCATTTAAGTGTTTTATATAGTTTTTGTTCGGTGTTGCTAAATAAAATGTCTGAAAACACTAATGTCTGTACATTTTTGAATGTCTGAGTAAGAGCTGCCAAAAAAACATCACAAATCGGCATCCTAAAGTGCAGTGCAAGGATTGTTTATTACATTTTCATGGATCTTGTGTAAATATATCAAAAGAAGATGCAGAATTCATGCAAAAAGAAAAGCAAATATGGAGATGTGATGGTTGTAGTAAGGAGCGAAGAAAAAGTATGCAGGTCGAATCAAAACTTGAAGAAAATAAGCCAGACATCCAAGATGTTATCAACCTACTCAAGGAACTAAGACAAGAAAATAAAGACCAAATAAAGAACCTGGAAACCGAAAATTGCCAAAAAAATTGCCATGAAACCATTGAGGACCTAAGGAAATCAGTTCAAAAACAGACTGAGTCTTTAAATAAATTTGAAAAAATGTTTGACTCTTTGTTTGAAGAAAATAAAAAAAACTACACCTACGCATAAAGGAACTTGAGCGGCGTGAAGATGAGTCAAACCAGTATTCTCGTATAAATTGTATCGAGATAAATGGAATACCTGAGATTGAGAAAGAAGATGTTTGAGAAGTGGTAAAAAGTGTTGGAAGAACCCGGAGTCCGGAGTGTTCCGGTTCAGACGTAGCATTACCGGAAGAGTCAGTGGATGCGTGTCACAGACTTGGACCTAAGCACAGAAGTGGAATCCAGCCCCGAGGTATAATAGTTAAGTTCACCAGAAGAATCAAAAAGGAAGAGTTCCTTAAGCAGAGAAGAGTTAAGCGCAATCTCAATACACATGACGTTGGCAATGTTGATCATCCTGCTGAAATTGTCTACATTAATGAAAGTTTGACCAAAGCAAGACGTGAAGTTTACAAGGAAGTCCGAACTCTAAAGAAAACTTATAAATACAGCTACGTATGGGTGAGAGGTGGAACGATCCTCGTACGACCAACGGAAGGCGCTAGAATAATTAATTGCAGTCATAGGCGCCTTAAAATAAGAAAATAAATAGCAAAACCTAGAAATAATTAGAACACAGATGAAACCATTGTTGTTTGATAGTGAAAAGTATTGTGAATAACATATCAAAAGTCTCCAAAAATATCTTTGGTGGAACACCACTATTTTTCCAAAATGGCGGCCAAATCCAGTAGTTTTTTTGCTTTTTATTGAAATTCTGACTTTCCAGTCAATATTGGTGAAAAGTCGTCAATACATTTAATGTTCCTCCTGAAATTACCTTTAAAATGACACCAAATACATGTACCTACAACAAAAAATAAACCCCGTAGAAATAATAAAATATTTCAAATAAAAATATTTGTTATAAATTAATGTAACAGTCCAAGCAAACTAAAAATAACCTACACAGGGATCGGATTAAAATTTGCAAGTAAACATTTTATGGTTTTATTTTTATTGTTGTGGTGTGCTAAGTTACATACCAAAAGTTGC